TCCTCTCCACATAGTCATTCCCCTTTTATTGCGCCACTTGAAAAAAGAAGGGGAAAAGAGACTCTGCAAGTCTGATGGAGGGTGCCACCTACACGCAAAGAGAGAAAAAGTCCACTCCCAAATTGACTTTGCAAATTGGCGAGACACCAGTAAGTGAAAACCAGTCTCCCCATTTGCTTTGCAAAGAACACACCAATGAGGTGACAAGCAAGTATTGGGTCTCTTCTTTTGGAGCAATTCACTAGTGTTGAATCTTTCTAGATAGGCTTCCCAACAAAAACTACCAACCCTAGGAGGAATTGGTCTGGACAAAACCTCACTAACCTGGAAAGGGGAGGTTGCAGGATTGTGGACTGGCATAGGACTTTGAAGAAGGAAGCATAAGAAAAAGAGCCCATGGGGGTAGGGGTCCAAATTCTAGAGTCCACCTTATAGGGGTCTAAGAAAACATTATCAAAAAGATCAAGGAGGCTCAAAATACTGTCGAGGTCTGAGTTCCTCATAGCCCTCCTCAGACCTAGGTTCCACCCAAACCTAGAACTGGAAGAGGAAGGGGTGATGAAAGAAGAAATTGGCTCATTTTTAAAATCAGAGAGAGCATACAAAGAAGGAAACTGGTCCTTAAGAGGAACATTCCCCACCCAAGTTTGTTCCCAGAGTTTTATGGAATTACCTGAATTCAAATCATACCTGACAAGAGGGGAGAAAACTGGAAGCAGATCATGAATGGATTTCCAAGGTGAAGTGCTTGTGGTCCTTATTCTTATTCCAACATCCCATCCATTTTGCTCCATCCCATGTATGCTTGCCATTATTCTAGCCCATAGCTTCTCTTGCTCCAGAGAAAACCTCCACAACCACTTCCCCAAAAGGGCCAAATTCCTTTTCTTGATGTTCCCAAGCCCCAAATCACCATAAGTTTTACTCCTGTTCACCACCTTCCAGCTAACTCTATGGTCCCTCTTCTCCTCTCCCGGCTCCCAAAGGAAATCTCTCGTCAACCTCTCCAACCTACTAGAATTCTTCACTAGAATTTTGAACACGGAAAGGAAATAAATGGGTAATTTTGAACACGAAAAGGAAATAATGTGGCCACCACCTTCTACTTCGGCAGCTGATCCAACTCTTTCCACAACTGAATTACCTTCTGATCTTGACCTTCCTATTGCTGTGCGGAAAGGTAAACATAGTTGCACGCTACATCCTATATCCAATTGTGTTTTTGTATTATTACCTTTCTGCATCCCTTCATGAGTTTATTACCCTGTTGTCCTTTGTATCCACACCTAAGGATGTTCAGGAGGCTCTTACCTCACTAGGGTGGCGAAAAGCTATGGAAAAAGAACTCTCTGCTCTTCATCACAATAATAAATTGGAACTCACCAATCTTCCCCCAGGTAAACATGTTGTTGGTTGTAAGTGGGTGTATACTATTAAGTATCTACCAAATGGGAGAGTGGAACGGCTGAAAGCCCGTTTAGTTGCAAAAGGGTACTCTCAAATTTATGGTGCAGACTATGTTGAAACCTTTTCTCCAGTTGCAAAGATTGGCTCAATACGTGTGCTGATTTCCCTAACTGCATTGCATGGTTGGCCTCTCTTTCAGCTTGATATTAAAAATGCTTTTCTCCATGGTGATCTTCTAGAGGAAGTGTACTTGGAGCAACCACCAGGGTTCGTTGCTCAGGGGGAGGATGGTAAGGTGTGTAAGCTCAAGAAGGCGATCTATGAGCTCAAACAGTCTCCCCGTGCTTGGTTTGGAAAATTCAGTGAAGTGGTGAAGGAGTTTGGAATGAGACAATGTCAAGTTGACCATTCAGTATTTAGCTATGACTCTATGGCCGGGAAGATCTTCCTAGTAGTGTATGTGGATGACATAGTCATAACTGGCAGTGATAGAGTTGGGATTGATAGATTGAAGACGTTCCTACAAAATCACTTTCAGACAAAAGATCTTGGGAAGTTGAAGTATTTTCTGGGTGTAGAAGTTGCTAAAGGAAGGCATCAACCTCTATCGGCAGAAATATGTTCGACTTGTTGGAAGAAATAGGGTTTCTAGGTGCTAAACCAGCTGAAACTCCCATGGAACTGAATGTGAAGTTAGGAAGTGACACGTGAATTGTTTGATAATCCTGGAAGGTATAGAAGGCTAGTGGGAAAACTGAATTATCTAACTATCACTAGGCCTGACATCTCTTTTGCTGTTAGTGTGGTAAACCAGTTTATGAAGAATCCTAGGGTGCCTCACTGGGATGCAATCCTTAGAATTGTGCGGTATTTGAAGGGGGCCTCAAGTCGTGGGTTACTATACAAGCCAGGAGGTGATTTTGAAGTAGTTGGATACACCGACGCAAATTGGGCTGGCTCTGTATCTGATAGGAGATCCACTATAGGTTATTGCACCTTTCTGGGCCATGGCACATACTACATGTGAACTAGTATGGTTGAAGAATCAATTGCAGGAAATCGGGTTTTCAATAAAGCTATACTATGACAACTAGGCTGCATTCACATCTCATCCAACCTAATTTTTCATGAGAGAACTAAACACGTAGAGGTAGATTGCCACTTTGTAAGGGAAAAGGTCATCAATGGTGAGATAAGTATTGAGCATGTGAGAACAGGTGATCAATGGGCAGATCTGTTAAAAAAAGGGTTGAGTTTGGGTAGAGTGAGCTATATATGTAACAAGATGGGATTATATGATATATACTCTCCAGCTTAAGGGGGAGTGTTAGAGTCGACTAAAGAGGGTTATTTTGGTCCTTTCCCCTAAGTAAAGTGTTAGTTGTATGTCTCCTCGTATGTAGGGGCATTTCAGTCTTTGTAATATTATTTTTTGTAATGTTTAAGCGTATGGTCGACTGAGTTAGACAAATAGTCTTCTCAGTTGAAACCATTCTTCCTCTTCTCCCTCCTCTCTTCTTCTTGTCCTCTTCTTTCTTTCTCTTTTCTCAGTTCGGCTGAACAACACAAACACCCCTGTTATTATCACTGTAGATCTAAACCCCTGTTATTTTTTGGTCTCAACAACCAAACACAAGGCACTAGGAATTAGAAAATAAATTTTCCTCTCACTCCAACCTTTCTCATCCCATCCATTCTCGACAATCATATAGACCATTAATGCCTAATTTATGGTAAAGCTCATTATAAGCCCTACATTTATCTCCATTCACTTTCTTTTTAACTTCCTTTATTATGGTTTTATAAATTTTCCTTTTTTTTGCATTTTTAGCTTTTTGCCATTTTTTTGCAACATGCTCATTTTAATATGATTATATTTTGAACCTCTCCATTCCACCACCAAGTTTCTTTAGTACTTATCCCTTTCCCTTTAAATTCTCCTTAGACCTTTACTACTTTCTTTATGTTGTTTGCCATTTTATGCCAAATATCATTAATCTTTCCATCTAAATTCCAATTAACTTAGGGCCCGTTTGGCACGTCTTTCCGCGCAGTCTTTTGGTTGTTTACAAGCTGGGAAGACCGATTTTCGGTCTATTTTCGTTTGACTCGTGGAAGATCTAGCCGCCAAAAGACGGTGCACCGAAAAGATGCGAGAAGCCCATTTCGGGCTGATAAGCTTCAAATGAAGCTTCCTGCGTCTTTTGCGCTTTAATCTCGTGCGGAAAGACGCTGGTAGACGCACATTTGCTAAATTGTCTTCGGGCTGCCCAGATCTTATGTCAAAAGCTCAATGCATCTTTTGACCGCCAGAGCTACAAGAAGATCTTCTCAAAAAGACGCGCCAAACGGGCCCTTATATTGTAAACTTGTTTCTAAATTAAACTAGCTTTTCTGCTTCTAGGTTTTCCCACCTAATACTTGAACACCTATTTTCTTCCCCATTTATTTTCTATTTCCTAATGCATATATCTACCACCACTAATTTATGTTGTGTTGTTGAGCTTTCTCCCAAAATAACTTTGCAATCTTTAGACATCATTTGTTTTGTTTTCCTAGTAAGGGAAACACCTATTTGACTTATGTTTGATCCACTTTTAAATGTTATTAAGTGTTCATTCTTTTTTTCACAAATCCTTGATGATTGTTAAAAGAAAAAACGAAACATCCAGACGAAGATGGGAAGAGACGAAGGTTTCAAGTCAGTCAGGGTTTGGAGACAGTAACTGAAGAAGTTCTTATTCGAGGAATGTAGAAACAAAGGTCGATGGCCTCTGAAGGTAAGGGAAGATAAAAAGGCTACAGTATTCCTAATTGGAGATGCAACACTATGGATGCAGGGGTTTATTGATGGAGCAATCCACTCAGTGAAATGGAATGGGTGGCAAACTTATCTGGTGGTAGAGAGGAAGAGATATGAAGTTGAGTTGAAGTGGAATAGAAAAGGGTGGTATATTACAGTTACAAAGTTCTTTGGGGAAGGCAAGAAAGAAATGATCTGTATCCCAGAAGGAAAGAAGAGCATAGGTTGGCAGGGGGCTGTGGAAAAAATACATGCCTATTTACTTCGGATTGAAAATGAGCACTCATGCTTGTTTGGTGAAAAAACACTCATATAAAATAGGGGTAGTATAGGTATTTTCAAAATGATGTGGCAGGGCAAGACGGGCCAGAAAGTAAATGATTGCTTATTTTCAGGAATAAGCACTTATTTGGCTTTTTCTCCAAACACACATAAGTGCGTATTTGTCTTTCAATATGTTAAGATGCCAAAGTTTTCGTGTTGTTGCTTATATTACATGAAAAACTTGTATGCATTTCTTCTCATTAACTTTATTTTTCTTTTGGTTTCTTTATTAATAAAGAAAGATTTATTAAAGGAGAAATGGAAAGAGTATTAGGACCCATGACCTGATATAAGGGAAATGGGGTCTTTCAGTTCCCAATAGTCCATCAACATAAAAAGGGAAAAATAAAATAATACAAAGAAGGGTTCTCCAGAATGTTTGCTCTTTTTTTTTTTTTGTTAGTTCAACCTTTTTTTTTTGCTATCCTGTATGGCTTTACTCAATGAGACCTGAATAAAATCTTAGGTGCAAGGTTTGGATTTGTAATTGATGAAGAGTTAAAGGAAGCTGCTTCTTGTGATAAAGTAAAAGCTGCTATTGCAGATAAAGTTAGCAGAGAGCGCATTGGTCATGAAGTATGTTTCCTATCTAGTATATTTTTGCTATTGAATGGTGACACATAATTGAACTTGTTTGAGATAATGTATATCTATCACCTTTAGGGGATCTAAGTTTCCCTGTTCAGTATGCATGCTGAAACCAACCAATTTTTTGTTTTTCCTCTGTGCAGATTGATCTCATGATCTCTGGCAACCAACCAGTTAAAGCAATGACACACATATGTGACTTGCAGTTATTTTGGGTTATCTTCAGTCTTCCTGATAAATATGAGCCTATAATTGCAGAAGGATGTGAAAGGTTTGTGTCTCTTTTCACGCCATAGTGATAACATATTTTAGGTAATTAACAAGTCACGACAATTGCTGTTTACATAGTGATGACATATTTTAGGTAATTAACAGAAGGATGTTCCACATTTGCCTTTACTATGTCAGTTTTTTTAAGATATCTTATATGTTCATGGTTTGTTGATGTTGGTTCTATTGATCAGCTAATTGGTTGATTGCTTAGAATTGTTTTGGTAGGATTTATGATTGTCTGTTTTTTAATTAGTTTCTGTGGCTGTACTCAGTTGATTTATGTTTTTTTACCATGGTTCAAAGTAAGAGTTCCGAAAATGTTTTTACAAGTGTTAACATTTTATCATCAAAATTGGTGAATATTGGGATTCAGTTTATTAGTGTGAAGCTTGATGGAACAAATTATGTGTAGTGGTAACGGTTGGTTAAAATGTTTATTGGTTGAAAAGCTAAACTTGGATATCTCACAAGGAAGATTGCAAGCCTGATGAAGATGATCCAATATATGATAATAGGGAGGCTGGAAACTTGATGGTTATGTCTTTACATCTAATCCAATGCAGGTAGACATTAATAGTGGCTTCTTCTTCTTGAAAACAAGCAAGGAAATTTGGGATGCTATAACAGAAGCATACAAGTTAAGAATTTTGCTTGAACTTATTGGTTGAGTCAAGAGATCTTCCATCATCGGCAAGAGGAGAAACCTCTTCCAAATTATTATGCATTGTTGAGGTGCATGTGGGAAGAGCTGGACTATCATGGTTCTTACACTTTGATGTGCAGGGTAGATGTAATGGCATATAAGAGTTGGATGAAGAGGACTCTTATGTTTGAGATCTTGGCAAGATTAAATGCTGAATTTGATCTTAGAGTAAAAATCTTAGAAGAGATGAACTCCCTACATTGAACCAAGTATAAGTCTAAAGTGAATAAAGCAAAGGGTCGTAATGAAACAGTATGGAGAACCACTTTATAGAGATCTCCCCTTGCTGCTATACTGAAGGGAAGTCTGAGAAGGTGGATAAAGAGAAGCTAGAGTTTTCCTACTGTGGTAAGTAATGACATGATAAATAGCGGTGGTCGATGTTTTATGGTCAACCTACTAGGTTTGTAAGAAAGAGAAGAATTCAACTACTAATGGGTTTATTCAGTCATCTACTTCAACAGTTGTTGTTACATTACAAAGTGTACCTCCTTGTACACTTCTGTTTGGTAGTTCTAAGAGGTTAGTTATTATTCCTGAGGATGAGTTGGAGATGTTATGACAAAAGGTATTTCTCTCTAGCTCCGTGGCATTTGCTCATACAGATATATATGCACTTGCATTTCATTCTTCTACTTGTCCACTCAAGCTTCAAAATATCGATACACTCTGATATGGTGGAAGGGGTGTATCGATACACTCTTAGGCCTGTCTACCCCTGAAATATGTCAAAACCTCAAACCTCTATTATTTGTCATATTGGTGACCCACCAATATGGGCTGATATGTGATGAAATTTTGAACCTTGGTTCCATTTATACGTTGTTATGGGTTTTTTATTATGGTGCTCCAAATCACATGATGGGAATATCATCAATTTCTTTTCAGTTTTTCTATTTGTCCTAGTAAAGATAAAAGAGTTGCTGATGGATCTCTTTCTTCCATTGCTGGAAAAAAAATAATTTTGTCCATCAGTATTTCTCTCCTTCATCTATCTTACATGTTCCTAACCTGACCATAAATTTGCTATCCATTAGTAAAATTACAAAGACCTTCATTTTTGTATTTTATGTCTTATTGCAGGAGAGTGATTGGGAGTGGTCATAAATATGGTGTTCCAATCTCCTTGAATTTGCATCAACATCATTGATATCTCACTAATCCAAGGATTCATTAGTAGTATTAGTAGGACATAGGAATAAGGATCAAATGATCAATTAATTTGTTGGCATTGGTTTCTTGGTCATGTCTCATTTTCTTTTTTTTGGTAAATAAATGAAAAGAATAATTTTATTAAGAAAAAGAGGACACAAAAAGGTGATAAGATATCACCGACAAAAAGAAAACAACCACTGTCAAACCAAAACAGAAAGTTAAAATTAGACCCAAACCAAAACAGAAAGTCAAAAAAGAACCACACCTAAGAGCTCAACAAACCAAAACTAGCCTACACTGACGAACCTATAACATAAGATTTCACTCCCCCAACAACTAGAAAAAACCAACAAAATAGCAAAACACCAGACTCCAATGGAATTCCATTCAACTTTTGCATATCTGCTGCTTCACCTTCTTGTTAGGCCCAACATCGACTAAACCCCCTTTTAATCTAGTGAAGACTTTCTAAACATGAACAGGTCTATGAGCCTTTTTATTTCTAAAATGTCTAACTGCATTAGGAATCCTCTCAAGCATCTGCTGATCCTTAAAACTTGTCATTGATCTTTTCCAACTCTAAGACCATTCTTCTTGAAAACTTGATTGGAAACCATATCCCAACCTCGGAAGATAGGAAGGAATGGAATCAAGGTGACCCACTTACAGTTTGATGATGACCTAATAATCTTTTGTGAAGGGGGTGATAGGAGAACAGTAAGGAACCTTAAGTCTCTGATAAAACACTTTGAGAGAGTATCAAATCTGAAAATAAACATGGATAAGAGTTGCATGGTGGGTGTGAATTTGGATGAGAGGGCTATCGAGTCTGTGGCTGAGTGTCTAGGTTGTCCCATTTCCTCCTGGCCCTTACAATATTTAGGTCTACCTCTAGGAGCCAACCCTAAGGAGAGCACCTTTTGGGCCCCAATTTTGGAAAAGTTTGAGAAAAGGTTAGCATTGTGGAAAAGGAACTATATTTCGTTAGGAGGTAGAGTAACTTTACTGAAAGCTTCCTTAGCAAATCTGCCGATATATTACTTCTCTGCGTTCAGGATTCCCGTTAGGGAGGCGAAGAAGTTGGAGAGATTAATAAGAAATTTTCTTTGGGAGCTAGGGGAGGAAAAAAATGATCATTTAATAAACTAAGGAATAGTATGTAGGAGGAAAGAGGAGGGTGGTCTAGGATTAGGGAACTTAGTTTTGAGGAATAAAGCTCTCTTAGGTAAATGGTTGTGGAGGTGGCCCTTAGAACAGGAGAGGCTGTGGCATGAGGTGATAGAGAGTATACATGGTAGTTCGGGAAATGGATGGGATGCTGGTATATCGTGGCGAGCCATGTTGGCAACTCCTTGGAAAGCAATTCAGAGTAACCTCCCTTTTTTCCTCAACTTTATCAGGTATGACATCAATTCTGGTACTTCTGTTTTATTTTGGGAAGACATTCGGGGGGCAATTTTGCCCTTAATGACAGTTTCCCTTCTCTTTATTCCCTTTCTTGTTACAAGAATAAAGCAATCTCACACTTTCTTCCAACATCTGTTTCTCCTTCCTCTCTGAATTGGGACTCTGGGTTTCGTCGGGGCTTGAGGGATCATGAGCTCTTTTGTGTTTCAGACCTTTTGTCACTACTTGGAAGTGTCTTTCTGGACCCTCTCAGATCTGATGTAAGACTTTGGTCCCCTACTTGGAAGTGTATTTCACGTGTGCCTCTTTCTTTAAGTCCCTTTGCTCTTCCTTGGGACAGTTGGGTTTTCTAGCTAAGGAGATCTGGTCTAGACCTGTACCTCCTAAAATTATTATTTTCTGCTGGGAGGTGTTCTATAGGAAAATCAACACTTCAGACCTATTGCAGAAGAGAAGGCCTTCCATGTGTTTGTCTCGTAACTGGTGTGTACTTTGCAGGGTTAATGGTGAGGATTGCTCTCACTTACTTTTAACCTGTTCCTTTTCTGATGCTATTTGGAGATGGATCTTTGCCTTGCTTGGGTGCAGGTGGAATTTGACTACAACTGTAGATCAGCTCTTTGATCCTTCCTTCTTTGTGTGGCTCACAAAAATTAGTAAAACAATGTGGAGATGCATTAGAGCTGCTGCTCTGTGGACAATTTGGGAAGAAAGAAATGCGAGGATTTTCCAAGAGAATGAGAGAAATATTCAGAACGTAAAGGATTGCATTTTGATTAGGGCAATCCATTGGCTCAAATCATTGGAATCCTTTAAAATATACTCCTTTGATGACATATGGAGGAATTGGATAGTAGCAGTACTAGGAAGAGCAGGGTACCAGCTGTGTGGGTGTCTCCTTCTGAAGGTTGGACATTTTGATAGTAGCAGCCAAGGAAATCCAGGCCCTTAAGGGATAGGAGGGGTGCTGAGAGATAAAGACAGCAATATCTTAGCTTTATTCTCAGTCTCCGTGGGTATAGGAAACTCCATTAGAGCTGAACTTTTAGTGGCAGGACAAGGTATTCAGATTGCAGATCAGTTAGGAGTTCAGAATTTTCTTATTGAAGGAGATTCCCAAGTTGTTGTGAGTTGGTTAAAAAATCCAGATTCAGTTATTTGGTGCTACAGGGACATTATGAGGAAAGTTAATTGGTTTTCAAGGAACATGACTGTTAATTCTCAGTGGGTGGGTAGAACAGCTAATGCCATAGCAGATGGGTTAGCTAAGCAAGGGGTATCAAGGGAACATTTATTCTGGGCATCTCTGTAAACTTTCATTTCCGAGCCTGATGTAGTACTTTGTTGTTGTTGAGGAGAGGTACCAACTCGTGCCTCTCCTCGGGCAGTCTGTACTGTAACATCACTTTGTTTCTTTGAATAAAATACCATTCATTTATAAAAAAAAAAAACCCATATCCCAACTTCTTTATCAGCAGCCCTTGTTCCTCTAAGGTCTCAAACTACCTTGATCACTTTCCTATTTATTTTTCACTTTTATCATCATAACCTAAACCACACTTATTTGTTGGCATCCTATATTTCTCTTCCAATTCTTGGTTCTCCTAGCAAACTCCTCCCCTCCTAAGAGAAACAACCCCAATGACTTGCTCACTTCCATTTCTGTATTCACTACTTTTTCAAATCAGTTGATATTTCAATGAGTCTCATCTGATTGAACCTCTTCATCACTTAAATCTGATTTCAACATTTTCTTTGTTATCCACTTCAGGAATGTACTTTCTTGTAGAGGTCTAGTTCTACAATTCTTCTTTCTCCTGTAAACTAGGGGTACAAGTTGGGCGGGTTGGGCCTGGTTTATGGTCAACCAAGACCCAATCCTAACATTTGGGCCTAAGGCCAGGGCCTGAGGTCAAGCCTGATCTTCCCAACTTGATCCCAGCCCACATTATAATTTGATGCACTCGAGTTGGGCTCGGGCCCAAGCTGGGCTTAGGTTGGTCAGTGAACCTACTCTAAAATCATACATGTATGTATGCATTTACGCAAATATGTATACGTATATGTATGTATATAATGTAAATATGTATGCAAATATGTATGTATATATGTGAATACATATCTATATGAATGTGTATATCGGGTTGGGCTCAAGTTGGGACATGGTTAGGCTGGGCATGGGTTGGGTTCGGGCTACCTAAGGGCTGGCCAAGGCCCAGCCCAAAAAATAAAAAGACCGAATTCTTGGGCCCGAGCCTAGCCTGAAGACTGAAAATCCAAGCACGACTGGTGTAAATTTTCGGGCTCGGTCGGTCTTGACTCGGGTTAGGTCCACCCAAATTGCATTCCTACTATAAACTCTTTCATTTCTCTCAACTAAACCCCCCTTCATCCTCTTTATCTACATGTCGCCAATGCTCAGATACCTCTTCTTCTTGTTCTTCAATTTTATCAAAATCATTCTTGACTCGTTGTTCAACATTCAATCACCATGAATACCAAACAATTCCTTCTCCTTCTCCTTCCCAATCCCAAACCCCTTTTCCTTCTCTTTCGGATCACTACCCCTTGGTGATTCCAAGCTTGAGCTATACGCTCTCTCCTTTCCCCCCTTCGACATCTCCATCTCCCATTGTCTCACCTCTAGAGACATCATTAACTTCCCCTAACCCATTTAAGTTATGGGGACATAACACACTGGTGGCTTTGGTTAAGTTACCATCACTGATATTGCAATACCTCATCTATCCTCTCTAATGGTTGAACCCTCCACATGTGCTGAACTTTCATTGCTCCCTTTATCAGCACAAAAGGTCTAACTCAAACTCCTTGGTTTTGTCGTAGAATCTAGATGACCTACCTTATCTCTTTAACCTCATATCATGTGTCATTTTCTTACTTAAAAGAAGTTGTATCCTTATTGTCATGTCCTATTCAGTATGAGTATACCTGAGTTTGTCATAAGAATTGTCATAAGATGTTTTGTACTCAATTGGGAAGGCAACTATTCGTGCAGGTACACCTCAACAAAATGGAGTGACTAAAAGGAAAAATGACAATCTTCTGGACGTAGCTCATTGTCATAGACCTCGAATCTCCCTAGCATGTCTGTGTGGCATTTGTGCTAGTAGTTTGTCACCCCATAAGTCAACCTTCCAACTTAGATCACACTCCTAGCTCTTAGGAACAAGTTAACACCAAGTTGATTTACATCACACACTTGGAAACACACAGGCAAGTAGGAATTGTATAAGCACAGAAGTGGTTAAAAAGAAACAAAAAATCACTTTGATCACTCAAGAAATGAATAACAACTCTGGATGCCCCAGCAAATGAAGGCCTATTCCTTATATCACATGGGGTGTACAATCAACAGTCGAGATCAATTCATTTGTCATACATCCAAAGGTTAAGAACATTCTGGAATTCTTCCATGTTATTCTACAAATATTTACAAGAATATTCTAGAATACTGTACAAATATCCACAATATTCAAGTGTATCTTGGAATTGTCTTGGGGCCTCTAGATTTATCTAGAGTGTTTGATTAAAATCGTCCCATAAGCCCTTGTCTGTTTCGGGATATGCTTTCTCTTAACATTTTCACTTCATGACATTGTGCTTTCATGTTTGGTCTGAATGTCCATACGATTTTTGGTTTGAAGCTATTCTTACTGTTTTTTTTCCTCATTAATTGTTTACCCTTATGTGTTCTTAATTTTAAATGTCAGGTTGAGCTTCTCCTTCCAAATTGCTCATTTTTTAATATTTTCTTTGATAATATGCTCTTTATTTAATATTCCTCAAGAAGTATTTTCATGTGTTTGTTATGTTCATTTTCCATTCTACTTCTGGTCCAAACTTGAACCCTTGTACTCTCAAGTGTATTTTCTGGGGGTTCTATACCATACAGAAGAGATATAAATGTTACCATATGTCTTATTGGAAGATCATTTTCATGGATGTCTCCTTCTTTGAATCCATCCCTTTTGTTTACTTCTCGGGTGCAATCTTTTCAAGGGTAGAAGACTACTATTACATGGAATAGGGGCTGATATCCTCCCTTTACTTGTTTTTGTTTATCCACCAATCATTGACTCTAGCATGTACTTGCTTTAAGGGAGATGTCAAGGCAATCAACAAAGAATTACAGTTGTACCTAGAAGGATAAAGGGCCAACTAGATGAGTAACTTCCCCAAGATCCTTATTTAGATTCAGTTTCTATTTCTGCTAGTTCTCCTAGTTTAACTTCTAGTCTTGTTGTTTCAGTATCTATTTTATTGTTGCTTATCCTTCAGATATTGGCTTACTCATTGATCTTCAGAAAGGAAAGCAAACTTGTACTCAACATTTTTCATCTTTGATTATGCTCTTATCATATTTTTTTCCTTGTCGTAGTTTTCTTGTCTCTACTTCTTCCATTACTTTGCCTTTTAATGTTTAAGATGCACTATCGGAATCTAAATCGGGAAATGACATATATGAATAGACGGGAGTTCTAAAACTATAGTATCTGGAGTTGGTTGACTTGGCCCTTCAAAATTGCTTGATAGGGTGTAAATGGGTTTATACAATAAAGTATAAAATTATAAATTAGATGGCTCAATAAAGAGGTATAAAATGAGACTGGTTTCCAATGGGTTCATTCATGTACACTTACATCAATGATTATCAAGAAATGTTTGCTCTAGTTTCTAAGATTAATTCTATTGGTGTCTTCTCTTTATTGCAGTAAATAAATCTTGGACGTCCTACTAATTTGATGTGATAAATTCATTAGGGAGAGCAAATAAAAATGAAGATTCCACCAGGATTTGATTACCCTAATGCTAAAGGGATGGATGTAGATTGAAGAAAGCACTGCATGGATTGAAACTGTCTTCTTGAGCATGTTTTGAGAGGTTCACTGCTGCTATGAAGAAGATAGGCTATAATCAGAGTCACTCTTTATCAAGTAGAGGTTCTAGAGGTACAATGGCAGTTATTGTCTATGTTGATGACATTTTGACAATGGTAGTGAAATTCAGCAGGTGAAGTCCTTTATAAGGAGTTTAAAATCAAAGACTCAGGGAACCTAAGATACTTAATTAGGATTGAAGTGACGAGAGCCATAGAGGGATCTTCATTTCCCTAAGAATTATATCTTAGGTCTACTTACGGAGACTAGAATGTTTGGGTTGAAGCCATCTGTGATACCGATTGAGTAGAATCATCTTTTCTGAGTCCAAGATGGACATGCCTAAGGAGACTAGAATAAACAATTTTAACATTATCCCGATATGAGATTTTAATCTGAAGTTTGTCTGGTTGATTTTAGAACTATGGTCCAAAGATGTCTTTACATGATTTACCATACTCCAGTTCTGGTAGACCATGATTAGGATTGGTTAGCAGTATTCAATATCTTCTAATGGATTTTAATTTCCACACTGTAGTTTGACCTAGTGTAGTTAAGTTAGCCTGTTGTAGCTTAGTCCTTTTGATGTGGTAAGATAAAGCAATATCTAGAAAAAGAACAATGAGGGATCAAATTTAGATTTTAATGACTGTCTCCCTGGTTTGGGGGAAATTTAGATTTTAGGGCTACGTGAATCATATAGCTAATGGTATAGAAAAATCAAACCAGGATTTTTTTTCATATAATTTTCTTACGAGAAATGTAGATATTGCTGTAATTTTTTACCAAGGATGGCCAGGTGTATTTTAGATTTATTTGAAGAGGGTGCATGAGAAATACCTCTGAAGTTTGACTCAGAAACCTCAGTAAACTTAGTGTGAACTTGCTCTTCTTGTCGAATCCATGCTTGTGAACTTCTATTATATATGATACAAAATATTTTTATTTTTCTAAAACTAAGAAAAAAAGGAAAGAGAAGGAAAGAGAAGGAAAGAGAAGGGGAAGAATGTTTGGGTTGGATCAAAAAGGACATTGTTCTAGTGTAAATGACTTTAGGGTTCACAGTTTAACAATGGATGTGGCCCTTAATAGAATGGAATAATTAAAAATGATCCATGCAACTGACTCTTTATGGTTGGGATAAAGCTCGTTTGAGTTGAGTAATCTGCCTCCTGGGCAGTAGCTTCTTCAAATATCTAGGTGGTTTACCTATATGATACTTTGACTACATTGGCATTGCTGGGGTAAGAGACATTTGTTCTACCCTAAAAGTATATTTGATCAACTTATATTTTAATGCTTGTTCCATACACTACTCAACTCAATTATTTGGGGTTGACTACATGAATCCTATCCTGCCATTGTGCTCTATCAAGTGCAATGTTACTTCCAAATTATGAATCTTTAAATCATTCATTCCACTTCAGATCACATTTTATGGTTACTTCTTATTGTGCTTTAGAACTTAATCCTTACCTATACATCCTCTGCCAACCAGGACTTGTATTGCTCACATGGATGCTGCTTTCAACCTTTTGCAACAAATTGAATGCCCGACAATTACTGTAAGCTTTTCAAACCTTAGACCATAAATGGTGGTGATGTTCTATCATTTGAAGTGTTTCACTCTTTCATTCTTCATGTATCATTCTTATTGACCTGTTAGTTGCAAAAGGTTGAACTTATGCACACTTTGCTCTTTGTTCTTATTATTTGTCCTACATTTACTTTGTTTCTTCAATTCACCACTTTTTAGGGGATAGCAATCAACGAAGTAATTTGACAAGGCTGTATGCAGTTTGTTCCTTTAACATAAACTCCATTTACTTCATTCCATTTCACCTGATTCATTTGACAAGGCTGTAGGCAGTTTAATCCTCCTACATAAATTTCATTTACTTTTTCTAGGTGAGCACAATAAGTCATTTGACAAGTTTCTAGGTGGGTTGTTTTTTGATGAATGATAATAAATTTATTATTTCAGAAGCAGATTTAGAGTGAGTTCATACAACATCCCAGGGAGAGGCGTGAGCTGCAGCCCCTCCCTGAATCTTACAAGTAAACTAGGAAAGAAAAGCAAGAATCACAACTGAGCCCAAAACAATTCTTCCCTATTTACCCCTTGCTTAGCTAACACATCTGACAAAGTATTTGCTGATCTCCCCACCCACCTTCATCCTAGGTGGGTTGTTCCGCCTACATATTTTTCCGTTTATCACTTAGCAGGGGACTACAATCAGCCAAGTCATTTTATAAGGCTGCAGGCAGTTTAATTTTCCTATATCATATATTTATTTCTTTTTTCTCTCTTTTATATCTAGAAAGATACAATCAGCGAAGTCATTTTACAAGGCTGTTTGCAGTTTTTCCTTCCAGATTTTCCTTCATTTTTTGTGTTCCATATTTAATAGAGAAGTATATATGAAGACAAAAGTTTTGTCCTTTTGTAGAGAAGAAGACTGCATGCAGAAAGAAGTTTCTGCCCTGTAGGATGAAGTAGAGGAGCAGAAAACTTTCTGCTGTCTTATAGAGAAGTTGACAACATGTTGAAAGAATTTTTGCCTTGTAAGAATGAAGTGGAGGAGAAAAAAGAAAAAAAAATCTGTCTTGCTAGAATAAAGTAGAGAATAACGGAGTAGCAATCATAATAGGAGTTGTAAGGTAGGTAGATGCAAAGAGAGAGGAATTTTTCATCCTTGTATACCTTAGTCCCAATTATGGGGCTATTTTCCTCTCTTCTTTATTTTTTCTCCTTCCTTTCTTCCGCTCTTTCTACTTTCAGTTGTTTATTCTCCAAAATTGCCTAATAGGAATTTTCTTTTCATAGATGAAGGGAAGGGTGTTTATATACATTTCCCACTCCCTTACATGACAACATGCTTATTTTCATAGAGTGGTGGCATGTTAGTTACTTAAGTGGGAGTGGTCCCTTCCCTATTTAAGTAAAGGATCTAAATGGGTTATAAATAGGCCCGTATGTGCTTTTAAACTGGTCAATATGTGCTTTTATTATGTGAGTTCCTCTGCAGATCCTCCCCAATCCCCACCCTCTTTTGCATTGATAGTCAAATTTAAATTGGTTTTTCCCCCTCTTTCACCCACAATGATTGAGATCAGATGCAAACTCTCTTGTTGTATGGGGAGATCTGGCCATATTGTTTTTCAAAAGAAGAGATTGTGTGTTCTTTACAACCTTTATCATTTTCCCTAGCTAGCAAATGTGCCTATGGGGGACCTGCTATTCAAGATATCAAAAATTTCCTCATAGGTATGTTTCCATTGAAAGGAATATTGCGATTACCACTATTACTCCCAAGCATATCATGATTTGATTTGAGAAAGAGCAGTATTTAAAACATGGTTTCAAATGTCCCTAAATTCGCTAATGTTTGCACAACATATTTCCATTTCCATGTGTAGCGACATGAAATTTTACTAGAATCAAACATATTCCCCAATGAACGCTACCAGCACTATGTGGAGTACAAGAGATAGTTTCCAATTGCCACAACATATTTCCATTTCCACTTTCATGGGTATGAAATCTTACTCGAACAAATATATATATCTTAGTGAACACTACCAGCACTATAAGGAGTACAAGAGATGGCATTATAACATTAGTTGGTGACAATATCGTACGGATTGCCCGCCTAATTTACATGATACCACTTTGAGCTAGCTCAATATTCATTTCAAACATGAAGTTAAATTATTATTATTTTTTGTGTAATAGATTATTTGGTTGATCTATTGGAACAATTTTAACTCATTCTTTAGAATGAGTTAAACATGCTTTAAACTCATTCTATCATGAAGCTCTAAATCTTGAGGTTTATAGGACAACTTTAGAATGTATTCTTTTGTCTATGACCTTGATTTCTTAGCTTTGTTTAATGATTTTGAACAACACAATAATTTAAAAAGGTGTGCCTGTGCTTCTTTTATCATTTTATAAAATATCATTCTATATTTTTGCATATTTTTTCAATGTTTCCACCATGTCTATAATTTTTACAATATTTCCATACGATATTTCTAACATTTCAAACATGTTTCCTATACTTGGACGACTAAAAGATCATAACAAGTGGTTGTGGATTGACATGTCTACTAATACATAGGGACATGTTGAAGTGAATGCTAGAAGAAGATAAAAAGGGATAATATGAAGAACGGTAATGTTTGATTGGAAAAGGATACAGTGCATCCCCCAAAGAGTATTGCTTTGAAGACTATGATGAATGATAGCAAGAAAGAGTTTAGAATACCGACTAAACTGAGCTTATTAGTAGTGTGAAGTCTTCCCTTGATTGAAAAGTATCCAAATTTTTATAGTTGTAAGAGAAGTTTAGTCCTTGTGTTTCGAAATTTCGTTGGACCTTTTGTTAGATGATGAGAATGGTGGTGTAAACATGCATGCTAATGTGGATAATGGGTTTGATGGAGGGCTTACTACAGTGAAGTGCTCTAGAGATCGATCAGGAAAAGCAGACATGGTGCAAGAAGAGAATAGTGATGTGCTCATGAATAATAATGAGAACACTCAATGTATAACTGGGGTTGCTTTTGGATAAGCTTTAGGATTTTTGCTTTCAAATCCCAAAAGAACCAATTTTAGGCATTTTGTTTTGGGGTGTAAAAGTATTTTAGACTCATATTATAACACTTTGAAAGCAATTCTAACCAAACGTTCAAATCACTTTTAGCCTAATTTTGTTTTCCACAACTCAAAGTGCAAAAGCTTATCCAAATAAAGCCTAGATCACAGATCCATGGTAATGCTTCTTCCCTATTTCTTTGATGGTTGGTCTTTTTTGGAACATTAAATTTCAAGATGTTTGTACTTATGCTATTGTTGAACATGTCTTATTGTTTCAAGAATAGGAATGAATGGGTTTCACAACCAGGTGTTTTCTAATAAAATTTGGCTTTTTTGGAGAACAGCATTTGCTTTGAGGTGATAGGGGATGGCGAACAACATTTGCTTCTTAATGTTGATGCTGGTATCAGGCATTTCTTTTATGGGAGAATTTGGTGGAATCTTGGATGATTGTTATGGATTTCAATGCAATTTTATAAAGATTAGAGGTAGGAAGCTGGATTTAGGTTCCATGGGTCTTCACCAAAGTTCATGATGCATGTTGTTTATTGATGATGTTGTTTTAATTGATGAAACTAATGAAGGATTAATACAAAACTAAGCTTATGGACAATTGCCTTAGAAACAAGAGGTTTTAAAATAAGTAGGACTAAAACAGAATAATATGGTATGTAATTTAATAATAATTGTAGTAGTAGTGCAAGTTAGTGTACACTTACGATTGGAGATTGAGAAATAATACAATGTGACCTTTTCTAGTATCATGGTTTGATAATATAATAAGAGAGAGACTGAGGATGTCACCTATGGAATTAGAGCAGGATGGACAAAATGGAGGCGTGCGTCCAGGGTTTTATGTGATAGGTGAATACTGTTTAGACTAAAAAGAGCTAAACTGTATGGAGCAGGATGTTGGGCAGTCAAGAAACAACATGCCCAAAAAATCAGCGTGGTAGAAATGCATATGTTGAGATGGATGAGTGGAAAACTACAAAGGATGGGATCATAAATGAAGTCATTTGAAGGAATCTAGGAATAACTCAAATGGATGATAAAATGAGAGAAAGTAGACCATCAACTATACTTGAAAGAAGAAGTGATCTATTGCAAGTTGAAGGGGCTAGAAGGGATCATAGTTGTCAAGGCGACACCTAGGCGGGCACCTAGGCGACAAGGTGCCCTTGGAGGCTCGTAGTTTTGTGCACTATGTTATAAAATACTTTTATATTTTTAATTTTTTGACATTATAATTATAAAATAGGCATTATTAATCTAGAATACTCATTTTATGTGTTTATGTACTAATTTATTTTTATTATTTTCTTATTTGTTAGGGTTTAATCAACACAAACATTGCTAACTGCTGTATTGAACCCATGGTTCAAAGTATCGATACACCTCTATGTATCGGCAGCGGTGTATCAGTACTTATAACGATTCTCCCCCTATTTTTTTATTTCTTTGGTTTTCAATTTCATTTATATATATATATATATATTGTTTTAAAAAATGGGTTCTCAAAACCACCTGTAAACATGTGTATTGGGGCGCCAAAGATACAATACAATACACCCGATACGGGGCGTATCGTATCGATGTTTTGATCCTTGATTGAATCCTCAAAGATTTCAGAACCTGAACCAATAAGCAAGGGAAGAAATTAAAATTTTGTCTAATCAACACATTTTCTTTTTACAGATCTTCTTCCACCTTTTCTTTTCTTCTTTTCCTACAACAAAAGTAGTGCCTCAGCCCCTTCATTTTTTGAAAATTATGGATAATTATTAAGGAAAGATGGTTATAGAACCTAGGGAACTACCCTAGGATATATGGTTTTACTTAAAAAAAGAATCCGTCGCCTAGGTGTCGCCTAGGTGCCTGCCTAGGCAACAAGGCGCCCCCCTGTCGCCTAGCCTCACCTTGGTGCCTTAAAAAGTATGGAAGGGATAGGGATAGACCAAAGGGAACGTTGGTAGAAGTAGTAAGAAATGATTTAAATGCCAATAACTTAACAATGGATATGACGTTAAATAGAGTGGAATGGTAAAACCAGATTCATGTAGTCCCATATGGTTGGGATAAGGCTTGGATGATGGTGATGATGATTGATTTTCACGAGTGGGTGCATACTCTAAATTTAGTTGATGATGGTTTTGAAGTCATTAAATGTACTTGGTGCAAGAAGAGAAGTGTACTATGCTTGGAATGTCTATTTGCTTATTAAGGCTTTGAAACACATATATAGGAAGCATTTATTAATTGTGTTTTGAAGTCTACAGAGGTGGACTTTGTATGAGTATTTCAAAAATGTTGTTAAAAGGAATTGGGTTTTACCTGTGGATGGTGATGCATTCAAAGAGTACTCTTAAAACTTCAAAGGTTGATGGCTGTATTGAAAAAAGTGGAACCATGATCTTTTTTGGGGACCATCAAAAGGTGAGAAGTGCTGAAGGTTTTCAAGTGGGAAGCTGAGTCTTTAATCAACAACTCTACAAAAATCTAGGTCAAGTGGCTGAAAGAGAGTGATAGAAATATAGTTTTTTTTTTCATGCTACTACTTTGGCGTTTTTGTAGTCTTTACTTCAGTATATAATGCAATTAGATCACTGGATGAGACACACTCAATGTGATTCTTTCGAAAGCATATGATCTCTTCTCTTCTTTTTTCTTATATCCTTCTCACATTCTCAATCTTCATTCTTCTTTGGTTTCTAAAAATCATAACTGCCATAAACTCAGTGATTGGATTAATCTGTCTGTGTCAAGTAGATATTCAGGAAAATAAGGGAATGCAAGGTGTCATGGATTCCCGGTTGATCTCCTTTATGAACATAGTTAAGCAAATATTAATTTCACAAATTTATCATTTCTTCTTACTAAACTTATCCTATCTTTCTTTGTGTAGGTTCAAATTATTTTTTATATTTGGTCAGTTGCATTTGGTTCTATGCTTGACTTGTTCTTGTATTAATATTTGAACTTTATTTATTTGTTATATGCGAATTTTAGGATGAACAAATCAGGCTTTACCTATTTGGAGCATTATTTCTTCCACTTAGAAAATCTGTGTATAGAGACAACAAAGGCAAAAAGGTAACTACTCTCTTGTACATCAGAAATCCTGCATATTTTAGATTTTTTTTGAAAGTTTGTATGTGCAGTTAGTTTATTCCACAATATTAAATGTGAGTAATCCATCAGCTTAAGTTTATTTTGTTAATTAGAAGATTATGGTTACCATCTTTTGAGAGAGCTGGCAGAAGCTGGTCCAGTATCCTAGTCCAGACTACAATAATCTTTCCTTTTAGGAATCCATTGAAAGGATAGTTTTGTCTTTCTATGGTTTTAAGTAGTGTTTTTGTCATTCCATTTATAGAACAGTGGGAATTAGAGTTCAGTAGCGTTTTCTCTGACAAATTCTTCTTTCCACCTTATTTCTTCTACTGTTTCTCAATTCTCATTGTTCAAGTTGGTATCCAAGGACAAAGTCCTGTTATAGTTTGTGAAGTTACTGGAGGAAAAAAGCGTAAAATTTGATAGAGGTGGATTTAAGGCAATTTTAATGATGTTTCTGATGTCACTTGAATGCATTTAAGACTTTTATGTACATTGAGAAAATCGTAAAATTTCAGATCTGAGTTTCAATATTTCTGTTAATTCATGAGAAAGTTATCTTCAATAGGGTTAATGTGATAGAGGAGATTTTGTAATTTTGGTGGATTTTCTGAATTTTGTAAAATTTTTTTCACTTCCATATCTACTGCTTGTAACTGAAAGTAACTGAAACTTGCTTTTTTCTGCTTAAATAAAAGCAGAAATACCTCTCTAAGTGTGTATGTATTGGACTGTTGATGATGTCTGTGACTTATTTGAATGATTGAAGGTGATTGTGTACTCTTCTATCCTAGCTGAGTACAAGAAAGAAGTTTTGTATGGGTCTGTGAGCCTTGTGGGCCTGTGGGAGTGGTCTTTTAAATTCATCCATCCTGTGAAGATCAGTTCATGAACCATGTTGACTGAGAAGATATTTGGTGATTAAAAAGACATTGCAGGGATCTCTGGAACTGGGTCTACATTGGCATCATCAACTGATAACAAAATGTTATCAGGTTATCATATTTGATGCTGATAAAAAATTGTTATCAGGTTTGATAGCACAAACTTACTAGGAAGGTCTCTATCTATTAAGATGTATATAGAAGGGAATGGGAAGGTAGGATATCTGACAGGAAAGATGAAATCCTCAATGATGTGTTGAAATATGGATCATCTAGTTGTTTATGCATCTCATCTTCTTTTCATTTATTTGGGTTGCTTTGTCTATATTGAGCTTTTAGTATTAATGGGCCTTCATGGCTATTTTATTTTTCTTTTCTATTGCTGCCGCCTAACTGGGGGTAGTTATGTAATAATACCTGGTTTCTGTAGAAGTTCTTGTATTGATTTATTGAGGTAATGCTCCATTTTTTGGGGGTTTATTTCTACCAAATACATGGGGCAGTTGTGCTTATGGATTATTGGAGATACAGTGAGTGGCTAGGTGTTCTTCCATATCTCCCAGTGTGCCACGAGCGTTTTCTGTCAATCTTCCAGTTTGGGAGAACACCAAAGCTTTCAGGGGTGTCTAACAGAATGAATGGATCCCCACCCCAAATGAGTCAAAATATATATTAATTATGTATAATTACAAAGGAACCCTTGAAGGGCTAAAGAAGAAAAAATAAAGAATTACAAAAGAGCCCTTAAGAGAGCTAAAAGATAAAAAGGAAGAAAATAAGAGACTAAGACTATAGTACAACAGGGACCATAGAACTATAGTACATCAAGTGTCTCCATACTCCCCTTCAAACTAATGTTGAGACATAAGTATCAGTTTGCACACAAGATATAGATGTATAGATCTCGTCATAGGCTTCATAAGTATGTCAACAATTTACAAATTAGAAGCTATATGTGGAAGAGAGATGGATCTAGCAAGAAAAAGATCCTTGATAAAGTCAGTCCACCTCAATGTGCTTGGTTCTCTCATGGAACACTGGATTAGATGCAATCTTGATTGTGCTAGTGTTATCAACATAGAGAGGAATAGGTGGAAGGAGGTAAACACTAATATCAACAAGGAGAGATTGAAGCCAAACAATCTCACTACACACAGATGACATAGCTCTATATTCGGCTTATGTATATGACCTAGAAACTGTTGTTTCCTACATTTCCAGGAGACGAGGGAGTCACCCAAAAAGACACACTACCCTGTAGTAGACCATCTAGTGTCAAGGCAGCCTGTCCAATCTACATCAGCATAAGCCCTCAACTGAATAGGAAAGGAGGAAAAGAATAGTCCCCGAGATAAAATGCCACGAACATAATGAATAATCTTGTGGATAGTGGTCATGTGGGGTTGAACAAACTGACTAACTACCTAAACCACACGAGAGATGTCCAGATGAGTCATGGTGAGATAGATGAGGGACCCAACCAGTTGTCAATATAGTGTACTGTAGCATCAAGAAGCAAGGTCCCATAGATTTAGACAATTTAACATTGAGTCCTAGAGGTGTACCAACCTGTTTGGTGCCCGTAAGACCAACAAGCTTTACAAGATCAAATGCATATTTGTGTCGACAAACAAAGTAACCTCGGTCACTACGGTGTACTTCCAGCCCCAAGATATAAATAAGAGAGCCCAAGTCTTTCATATGAATGGAACTGTGGAGAAGAGACTTGAGTTTCTGTATTCCATCCTGGTCATCCCTAGTCAACACCACATTTTCTACATACAACATCTCTGATGATATCCAATAGCAACAACAACATCTCGAAACTTCTCAAACCAGGCCTGAGGAGCTTGTTTGAGGCCATATAAGGATTTCTTTAGCCGCTAAACAAGGGCGAGATCACCACTGTATCTAGGAGGCTTCATGTGTACTAGGAGGATACGAATGCACAACATAGAGAGCTAGGAGGATACGAATTGTAGTAATCTTGGCAACAGGAGCAAATGTCTCCTTATAGTCGATGCCATACTCTTAGGTGTATCCCTGAGCAACAAGACAAGCTTTGTATAGTTCCAATGAACCATCAGACTTCAATTTCACAGTGTAAACCCAACAACTTCCAATGACTAAAGCATCTAAAGGGAGGAACCACCAAATTCAAGTGCCATTCTCTTATAAGGCATAAATTTCTGCACCAATGGCTTTTCTCCAATGAGGACCAGTAATGGCTTGTTGATATGAGCAGGGGATATATATGACAGATAACACAACAAACAAAGAACTATGGTTTGAAGGGAAACCATAGCGGTCAGGAGGTCTAGAAATATGAGAGGAATGACGAAGAGATGTGGTAGGAATAGAAATAGAATATGAAGTAACATCACTTACAGGAGCATTAGTGGAGAGATGATCCGAACTAGGAGTAAGTGAGGTTGTAGGCATAGGATCTGGAGCACATTACCTTTGCGAGAGAAGGCGAGAAGGTCTTTCACACTAGTAGGAGGAGAAACATCCTATGAGCAAAATTCTGCAAAACAGTAACAGATGGAATAGATAGCCTAGCAACAATAATAAAAAAGGAGATAGGCTTAAGGAAAACAACTTTTGAGAAACACAAATGCGACAAGCAGAGGGATCATAACAAAGAAATCCTTTGTTATCTAGACTATATCCCACAAGGACACACATAACAGACTAAGCAGATAACTTGGAACATTCACAAGACAGAAAATGAATAAAGCAAAGGCGCCCAAAAACATGGAGACTAGATAAATCTGGAGGATGACCGAACAGTTTCTGGAAAGGAGACATATTAGCAAGAACAAAAGAGGAAACACAATTAATCAAGAAAGGAGACATATTATCACAACAATACTAGCAGCCTCTACCCAAAACAAAGGAGCATGAGATTCTTGCATCAGGGTTCTCACAACACTGAGCACATGACCATTCTTATGCTTAGCCACTCCATTCTGTTGAGGTTTGTCTGGACAGCTTCGTTAAACTTGTATCCTATGACTTGTTAGATAGGATAAGAAGTCTCCATCAGTATATTCTCCCCCTGAATCTGAACAGAAAATACGTATGAGAATGAAACCGAATTTGTATTTGTTAGTCGATTAAACAGGGGTATTTTAGTCTTTATCATCTAAGTAATGTGTTAGTTATATACCTCCTACATAGACAGGGGCATTACTATCTTTGTATACTTGTTTGTCAATTTTAAATATATGTTCAACTAGGTTAAACTTTTTGTCTTCTCAGTTCGACACTATTCTTCTTCTTTCTCTCTTCTCAGTTCGGCTGAATACTAACATGGTACGAGAGTGCCACTAGTAAAAGTCGATTGCAGCCTTCTTTCTCCGTTCTTCTTTTTCTGTGGCAACCTCCAGGGTTTCGGTGGATTGACTTCTGGTGACAGTGGATGAGTGCAACAGTTCGAGTGAACAGAGAAAGAAAAACTTTTTTCATGTGGACTGTTGTCACCATGTGTAACAGCTGTGGTGGTTGAGTAGGTGTAGTAGCAGTGGTCTGAACCCTCTAATGAGCAGTTTCAAGAGGGATTCCCTGTGTTTAAATCTGCTTGTTCGCAGTACAATGGTGTTCAAAGTGGTCGAATGCATGCTAGGGCAAACTCGTGGTGATTATTAGTGTGCTGGTGTGGTAGTTGAAGAACAGTAGTGTAGTGGTTGGAACCTCTCCTTTTTGTGTGTGACGGGCAGAACTAGCTTCATAGATTGAAATGGTGTCGATGGGTGATGCGAGTAGTGACTAGAAATCGAGTGTGATGATTTCCTTTGAGTTTTTAAGTGTCCAGATGACGTCCATCAAACTCAATGGTGAAAACTATGTTCCGTGGGCCAAGTTGTTGGAAGTGTTTCTGAAGGCTAAGAAGAAAGTGAAACATGTACAGGAGGAGAAACCGAGTGCTGAATCCCTGGGTTTTAGTGATTGAGAGCAAGAGGATGCTTAGATCATGACGTGGTTGTGGAACAGTATGGAGCCTAAAATCAGTGTTAATTTCATGTTTTTAGATACAGCAAGGGATATATGGGAACATGCCAAGAAACTATTCTGGACAAGACAACAAACACT